GATCTTGAATGAAAAGTGCTTTTATATAGTTGTTTTAATTATCATATTTTTTATTAGTTTTCTTTTTTGTGTGTTTTAATCTTTTATCATTTTTAACATTTTAAAATGTTACTTGACATCATCAAGGGGCCAGCCCTCACTGGTTTTTAAGTATAATATATAAATATTATAGTGCAGATATGTGTGGAGAGGGTGGCAGTTGAAGCTGTGCATTGTAGGGACGGGGACTCAAGTTGCTCCATTATTGGGTGGCAACTGTCCTGTGATGTCCACAAACTGGGTGGAGCGTGTTTCTTGCTGTGCTCTTGGAGCATCCAGGCAGGATGTTGTACACCTGTGGAAGGTGACACACACCACACACAGGCAAAGTCACTATCTGTGTGTTCAGCAGCTGCACCTGGACAATCCGCTGGTGACGTGGCTCCATCACAGCTGTCTGGGTGCGAGGAGCCTCCATCACTGCTGTGTGCACTAGCCTCTTGGCCAGCTGAGTTTCGTCTACAGGTTTCGATGCTGACGCTGTGACACAAACAAACAAAAATACCATCAGTCTTCTTAAACTTTAGCCTCAAGCCTGCATTAAACAACATTTTAATATTAATAATGAATCAAATGACATTTAATTGGAAAAAGTCACAACTTCTGTCTTCTTTTGTAAAAATACACAATTAAGTTTTTCAGTTTTGAAGACACTACAAAATGTTGAACTAACTTTGAGCTAGTCAAATATGATGAAGTGTGGTCACATGTCTTCTCACACACTGTGAAATTAAAAATGTTATCCTACCTTCTGCCTCGGTGGGAGCCTTTCTCGTCTGCCTGTTCCTCTTCCTCTTTTTGCCCTACACAAAAACAAAACACATTACACTTTCCATCCGATATCAGCTGCTAAAAAACTCTTTGCAGTGACTGTTTCATCAGCTCTGGTGTAGAGATGTAAACATGTATGAGCTGTGTGTGAGCAGGGTGTACATACATAGTTGTCACTGTTGCGCCAGTCAGGATGTCGCTGGGTGTGCAGCAGCCTTGCTTGTTGGGCCTGCTCGTAGTATTGGGCCTGCCCCTCCACTGATAGTGACTTCCACTGTGGACAGATGACAACACTGTCAGTCAGCGGCAACACACAGTTTTCATTTCACTTAAGCAAACTACAATTTGGGTCATAAAATGTGACAAAATCCTTTAAAGGTTTGGTTTGTTTTCTGGTCAGGAGACAATAAAGGAAAACCATAAATCCCTGTAACGATGCGAAGATCACCTTGAACGATCTAAAATGTAAAACAAACTTTGATCTAGTTTGTGACAGTGAGTATGTCAAACATACAGATCCAACGCACATACCCTCTGTCCCAGGACTGCGTTAATGGCCGCACTCCCTTTGCCAACTATTTCCACTTCCACCTTCTCTCTCTGCTCCTTCATGAAGAGCATGAAGGCATTTGGCGGCTTCTTCACATAAGACTGGTCGTCCTCCTGCTGCTCTTGACGCTTTCTTGTCCTAAGAGACAAAACCAGAGTAAGAGCTTGGGCCAGTCACAGAAAAGAGAAACATTTTGACCAGAACTATCCAGAGCAAACTTACTTTGAATTGTAGGCATTGAGTTGGGGAGCTGCATATAGAGGAGGAATGAAACCTCCTCCTGGAACTTCATACACCAACTGTCTATTCCTACACAGATAAAGAGCGACAGATACATACATTAGACAGAAGAAAGAATGTGTGTGGATGATACGAACAGGAGCTCAATATATGTGTTTACTGGTGTTTTTCTTAGCATTTGTGTGTGTTACTTACAGCATTCCCACAACGTGCAGGTTCTGGTTCTGGTTCCGGTTGCGGTCTTGGGGGACCGTCACCATTGGGACATTGTTATACTGGAGAAAAACACACATAGAACAGGCGATCAAACAAACTGTGTTACTGATTTACTCATTTTAAGGTGTACTGTACCCTGACATATACAGCCTAATAAATAGTTCTAAAATGTGCCATTTTTCTATTGAAGTTTTGAACTGGAACTGCAAGACAGCATTGACATCCTTCTACAGCAATGCTAATAAACCTGCTGTCTGCTGCAACCAAACAGTGAAGATGTTCAGTGTGTGTGGTTAACCAGGGTCTTACTGTGTGTGTAAGAGCAGCAGCAGGGTAACTGCTGGCTGCTGCTGTGGGGACGTCCTCTACTGGCCACTGATTGGGCAGGTACTGTGGAGAGAGAGAGAGGGAAGGTTAACTGACAGTTAATAAGTTTATCAATCAGCAGAGCCTCACTGCCGTGTTGTATAATTCATTACATTCAACACGTGAAGGGAGACCAAAGTGATTTTACATTTAAATGAGCCTTTTTTCTTGCCTTCTTTTGGCATAAAGCACCCACCATTGACACATTTCTGTATCAATATAGGTATTGCTATATAGATACCTACTCCTAATCTATACTTCATATCTTACCTGTCCCTGGTTGTAAACACCTGCCTGACTGTGCAGGGGACTTGGCTGCGGGACATCACACTGTGGCTCGTTGTACATGGTGGGAGAGGCCATGATGTGAAGATCTTTTCCGAGGGAGAGAGACACATTAGATTCTCCAAACTGAATGTCTGGCTGAGGAGGAGGTGGAGAGTTCAATTGGTTTTCAAAATCATTTGCTGCTCTCTCAGTGATTGCGACCAGCCGGGCGCACTCCAGCTCATCTATAAAGCAATCAATCTCTGCACCAACATCCATTTTTGTGACTGAGATTGTGCGCTGTCTGCTTTTAGTCTGTCTGGGGGTTGCTGGACTGCTGTCACATGCATTGATAAGAAGTTGGTTTTAAATCCTGTATAAAGTTCATTTGATAATACTTTTTCACTTTTAGTTTACTAATTTACATGTAGGATTTTCACACTGCGCTATTACTACTTCTATTATAAGGGTCAGAATATTTCTCCCATCACTGCACCAGTGGGCCACAAGTGTTACTGCATTAAAACATTTACAATGCTGAGCTTCTTAACTCAAGCTGAATGATACTGTGGTATAACAACAAGCTTTAGAGACAATATTTAGTTAAAGTTAGCTATGCGTGTTAGCTGAGAGTCAAGAATATATCCAAGTTGGCCTTAACTTTCAGGGATTTATCTGTTGCTGTCAAATATTAGGTACAAAGCTCGCTGTTTAGGTACTTACCAAACAGCTTTTGTGTTCACTGAAGGTAGAAGAAGAAGTTGACAATGAAATAATCAAGAGGTATGTATCTTTCCAAGCTTTCTTGAGTTGTATCTCTCTGAAAATGTGTTTGTGGTCTACTGGTGAGATGAACTTATTCTACTAAAAGTGACTTACATTCTAGAAAGTTCATTTAAATAGTCCATTCTCTGATTCCATTCTAAATGTATTCACTACTGCCAACACCTGACACATCCATAATAAGTTCATACAGTTAACTGGTAACCATTACGACCATTACCTTCTTGATATACCCAATGGGATACTCTTTTTTTGGCTGTACCGCAACGAAGCAGGGCCAGCTCTGTACACTCGAGTTAGCCTACATACACTTTCATTGACAAAAAAAAACACAGAATGTTTCGAATAAAATGAACCATTCAAACCACAATAAAAAAAGCAGAATATAAAACATTTCATTAACAACAACAACAACAACATTAACAAGATTTAATGGTAAACTGACTGCACCAGTTTTTAACTATACACCTGTACTACATGGTGAGATGTCAATTAACAATAAACATGCATTTTGAATAATCTGCATATATCTCTATATATTTCTACATTATAAATTAAACAAAATATTTTAAGGTTAACTCATCTATGCACAGAAGCATGTTTAACACCTGATGAACATTTTATATATAACAAAGGTATTAAACACGTTTTAAAGATGAATGAATATCCTTACTCACTTAAGGTAATTTGAAAATAACAAAAAGTCATATAATATGCTGTTTGAAGAACTGAATCAGACTTGCTCATATGTTTGGTAGCACAACCGTTTTCAGGCGATGAAGCTTTTTTCCACTACATTTCAATCTAGAGACACTAGGAGTCCATAGGCCAATGTCACACACACACATTGCCATCAAAAATAAACCTTATCCACTCAGCTCTTCTGTCCCCTGAGGCTGGGGTCTGATGTAGAGATTTTTGATGGTTATTTGACATTGTATCAATTAGTTTGGAACTGAGTAAATGTTGAGTAAAATAAGCCCCGGCCTACAGTCTCCAGGCTGGCCAGTGGAAGTTGTCAAGATGGGGGTGTTTTGACTTGCTGACTTAGGTCTTACCATCTATTAAACTATAATTATTACAACTGAACCACAATTATTTTCAAACATAATAGTTATTTCTAATAATATAGTAGGCCTATACCTCTCACCCTAAAGATAACTACTGAATAAGCATTTTTCTCCTTATTAAAAATAACACCAGCCCGACAAATGAGAATTTGGCCCCCTGTATGTTAATATTGCTTACTGTGTCTAAAAAGCAGCCAAAACCCCAAACATTCAGCTAATTGTTTGGATATTGGGTTTCCCCATAGATAAAATAAAATATATGGAGGCCCGTTGTGGAAGAAAACATGATCTACATGATGACTAGGGTGCTGTATGTTTTTTATTGCACAGGTGTAGTAGTTATATTTTAAATCTGAGTCACATCATCAAACTATTTTAATCTTAACCATGGCTTGGAACTGATCACCAGAATCGCATCACAACTTTAGGCCCGCTTTCACCGCATGCAGCTGCCCTTCTTTCGTTTGAATGAATAAATGATTCATTAGAATCAATCAAGTCAGTTATTATAAGACCTTGAAGTCTGGCTCATGGTATTGTTCATTATGAGAACTGCTTCACAGTGTCGACGGAAGGAAGAAAAAAAAAAGAGATGTAAACAAGTTTTTATCTTGATGAGAAAGTCGTGGCTGCATCTCCGCCCCGGATCACACCCACCATACCTTCAACCTCAAAACCCCAACAAACAAGTAGTCACACATACTGACAAAGTCCCGAACAAGAAGGGTCTGCTTTTTAAAGATCAGAGTCTAGATCTTTAATCACAAAGTGGCGAGATTTAGAAGGAAAGTCTTGCTCAACACACGAGATGATCGTGAGAAGACTCTAACAGGGTGAGCTGCATCGATTCTAGGTCATATATGGTGCAAATGAATTACATTTCCCTGCTGTTTAATCTAAGATCTACTTTTTTTTTTTTATTCATAGAAAGGCATTAATGGAGCACATCTCATATGTCCCTCCACTGGCTCTCCACGGCCTCTCCGTGGATAACAGTGGAGCGCACTACAAGGACGCGCTTCGACTCGGACTTCCCTTCCACCTTGACGCAGCATATCTCGACCCTGTGCACGGCCAGAGGTTACCCTACAGACGATTCTCCTATTTCAACTTCCACGGACCCCTCGGGGTGTGTGATTTCTCCTTCGAGCCCGCGTTCATCCGGAAAAGGAACGAAAGGGAGCGGCATCGTGTGCGCTGCGTAAACGAGGGTTACGCGCGGCTCAGAGAGCATCTGCCGCAGGAGCTGGAGGACAAACGGCTCAGCAAGGTGGAGACACTGCGGGCGGCTATTGACTATATCAAACACCTGCAGAGCCTGCTGGACTTAAACGTGTCCGGGATGGAGGTGTCACTTGGAGACGCGCGTAACCGTGCGCCGCTGCCGCAGAGGACAGTGCAGCAGTGATGGAGAATCCAAAACTGGCCTCAGCGACAGTGGGGGAAATGTTTACTAGCGCTCACCATCACTGTACATTTGTTTAAGTGTAAAAAGTAAAACATGCCTAATTGACACAGTGTCTGATTTTATTCAGTCTGTACATTGAGCATACACTTTATTATAGAGAGCGAGCACAAACACATAGTAAAGTTATTGGAAAAGAAAGTTTAACTTAACTTTAAAGTTAGATTATTTTGTTGCATATAATATTTTTGGATGATATATTGATTGTGTGCCTTATGGCTTTATCAACGAGGTAGCTTTTATTACTGGGTGTAACATTGAAAACACAGAATGCTTAAAAATGGAGAAAAAAATATTTAAATCAGTGAACCAAGTCATGATATATTATTAACTTCTGAGTAAGTGATACTGATATTCATGAGTAACAAAGAAGTCTTGGTCATGATGTAGATGTGAATATATCCAAAAATGAAAGAATGGTGACTACCTTGTGGGACAATTGACAAGTTGAGCCCTTCTCGATGAATTCACCACCTGGGAGATTGTTTTTTTTTGTGTGTGTATTTTATATTAAATTGTTGTGCACTTGACAACCTAATCCTAATAATTTCTAATTTAATGAACAGAATAATTTCCAAAGTTCTCAAGAATGGGATCTAACAGTAGGAAGGCTGATCAGCAGTCAGAAGTTTTTTGTATTAAAAAATTAAACAAAGCTCACCCCTTTAGCTTGTGTTCTATTTTCTTAGACCTGATACATGTATTAAATGTTTATGTGCCTTATGACACCAACTTATTTATTTTCTAATGTGCACACAAACACACACACACACACATTATGATGTTGTCCTGTAGCTGTAAATTCAGAAAACATGCTGTAATAGAGCACAAGATGATGCAACATGTTTGAACCTTTTCTCTGCATGGTTTAATTGTCACAAAGAGAGGATCAGGGGTGCAGGTAATAACATTAATTAAATCCACCTAAATGAAATGCAGCCATTTAATGAGGTTATCAATCCCAGCTGTGAATTATCAGCAGTGGTGGAATGTAACTAAGTAGCCCACAGTCACTCACGTACAGTGCTTCAGTACGTGTTGGCTATACTTAAAACCAGAAAAGTTAATTTAACAAAAAAAAAAAAAATAGCTGAAACTGATTACATCCACATTTTTAAATAAAACTAATGACATTTTGTTAGTTACAAAAACATTCTTGATTAGGTAGCTTTAGTAATTTTAAGTGAGAATGACTTAATTTTGTAATTTTTATTTGTACTGTGAAAACAAAATAAATATATATAAAGTTATTAATCTGTTTCTCTGACTTGCAAAACTACCTTAGTGGCACTTGAAATTAGTGGCTTAATCTAGAATCTTTTTAACCTAAAAATTTAAATAATAATAAATAATAATGCAAAATATAAATCCACTAAGTGTGTTGTATTATTAGGATTAATGTACCAAGCAGTGTATAAAGTATTATGAATTAGCTCCACTTTTACCACCTGCAACATTAGTGCTGCTTACACATTAATGGGTTACTGATAATAATCCAGTGATATAGCATACATTATTATAAAATAGGTTATTCTGCATTATGAGTATTTTTTCTTTTGTATTATTAGTAATATTTTTGCACTTTTGTGGTATTGTTTTAACAAGAGAGTACTTCTTCTACCACTGCACATCAACAGGGGATCAGATCTAGAGAAATATTCATGGGGTGGCAAAGGGCGGCATAGAGACTTTAATGGGAGTCAGAAATATATACTTGTTTGCTAACAATCACATTTATTAATGGAAGCTTGGAAAAGCGCCCAAATGAAGATATTTGAACTAAAATGACACTACATTATTGTGGCACATTAGTACTGCCTTAAATAGAAATATCTAAAGGTGGCATTAGAAATGAATATTTTTTCTATTTCCAAGTGTTCAGACCTTTCTCCAAATATCTCCAAACTTTTTTCTTTGAACTTCACTTACACAATCTAAAATGTGGCCATAACAGATTATTAATTTCATTTGTGTTTTTAACACAGTATTGTTCAAATGAATGTGTTAAACTTGGCAGCATCTGACACCAAACTGGGACCCCCACAAGGTACACCCCAGCATATCAAAATGTCTTCTCTGGACGCGGCTTATTCTGTCTGAAACTGATATGCTTGTCTTGTTTTAGTTATGGCCAATGGAAGTGAACATTATTACAGTAATACAGGCTGAACTGGTCCCTAAAGCTCAGAAACAACACGTCAAACGAACAGATCAAGTGTCCAGTCTAAAGAAAGTCTCTCTCTTTGTTTTCAGGTACCTGAGTGCTTTTCAAAGACCACCTACTCACTGTCCTATCTCAGGGTTCTCAGGAAGTGTACCCTATTTGTGTGTTTATACTTCCCACCTCCGCTACCACCGCCTGCACGGAAACACCTCACAAATTTCTGATACTCAGTAATACCACAAACGGGAGAAAAAAAAAGAAAACATGATATTGTATACAAGTAAATGGTTTTGGAGAGACCAGCAGAGTGCAGCTCAAGTGAACCATGCTGGTATGGAGGAATAGCACTGACAGCCACAAAGGCATGACACACCCATAACAAAAGGTGTGTGCGGTGTGTGAATTAGACCCAATAATTAGCCAAGTGCTGGTACCCTGGGCTTGATGGTTCAGTGGCACTCTGAAGATAGAGAACATGAAGCTACTTAAAGGAAAGCCTCTGCCAACGATGGATGTTTTCTTTCCTGATGCACACAGGCTGATTCTAATCTGATCCCAGCACAGATTCCTGGCAGGCATTGCTCTACTTTACTGGAGGAGTTGTTGCGGATGCATGAATGAGATTTAATACAGAAGATTTTGTACAGAAGATTTAATACAGGAGATTTAATACACAAGAAACGTTTATAACTTTATCAGGATCATTTCAGTTTATTTCTGGAATAAGGTCACATGTGGTAATCTTTATTCATTTTGTGCCACAAAAATCTGCACAAAACCTTGTTTTCTTAAACAAACAGACAAAACAGAATGCCCTTGTACTGCATCCTGTCTTCTATCAAACCTATTTACCTTCTCTCGTGATGACTGCAAGCTTCAAACACAGGGCCACCATAGGCCTTGGACTAAACAGATGCTTGTAGACAATAACCTTATGGGGATGAGCATAGCAAACAAGATTATGGATACAAAGCATTAAAATGAAAACAAGAGGAAGGGAAAAAGAAGAATAATCAGGTAAAGTGGAGTTGAGGTTGGTTTTAAACTAAATATGTGACTATTACATATTCAGTCCTTTGGATTGGGAAAGAAAAATACATTAATATGATAAGAGAGCATCTGTTGGGGCGTGGGAAAACAGATATCTTCTATGTGCAAGGGATTGGAGTTCTATATTAAGCCTGCTAATGTTGTCCTCTGTCTGAAAGGCTACAGAGTCGTGCATGCAGGAGAGAGAATTCCTGCAACCACGCACAATGACTCAGCTAGATAAAGTTTATCAGTTGAAGTTAGATCAGCGCGGGACCACCGAGAGAGGTTGCTGCAACGTGTCGAGACAGAGAGCCCACATTCAGGGACGGAAACGGAACAACTGCGAGTAACAGGACACACGATGACGCAGGAAACTACTGGTGCACTTCAGCTGAAGTTGAAGTCTCTTTGCTGCTGAAATCTAATTTACATTTACATATACATTTGGAATTCGAATTATAAGTATAAAAATAAATATGTAAATTCTGGAACTCAGTATTGCCAGTAGATGCTATACAATACCAATATAACCTGTAGCATGTTGATTTAAGTGTTGTTCAGTGCTGTTTACTTTGAATTTGTGGGCAAATTATACGAAACACCAAATAAGGGCTCTACCACACTATAACATTGGCAACAAAAATGTACTTGAAGTATCAAAAGTACAAGTACTCTACAGAATGGTCCCCATTAGTGTTATATATGAACTGGAAACTGGCATTTGTTATACAACACAAGGTTGTATAATGAATACATTTCCTTGATTCCCTTAATATATTGTATTATTGGATCATTATTGTTGATGCATCAACATGTGAGCAACACTTTAATGTTCTGCTTGATTTAATATAGAGATATAATCAGATTTTATAAACTTTAATTTGAAAGAAAATAATTATAAAGTAGCATACTCAAGACAAGTACACCTCAAAATTGTCCTTCAGTAAATGTACTCCACCATGCATATTGTGTTATATTGTAGGATGTTACTGTTATTTTGTCCACCCCTGCACCTCTTTCACACAGTCAACAGTAAAGCTGACAACATAATAGGAATGAATCATATAAAAGTCCTGTCATTTTCTTAATCGGTTTTGCTGTTGGTGTCATAATCATAACAACATTAGGATTCATTGTCTTAGTGAAAAGCTAATATTAACAGTTAATGTTGCTAATGAGAAGTTATTTCACAGTGCATGATAACAGCTGGGCTTGGTTATAATATAGCCAGTGACTGACTCATTAATACAGCAACGTAACATGTCAGTCAGGTTATGCAATGCTTCAGCAAAACTTGTTTTTCTGTTGAACACACAGGAGCAAATTATGCATCGTTTACTGTAATTTATTAATTTAAATACATATTTACAAGTGGTTAAAAGTTTGCAACTGTGTCACATGCAATGAAGTGTAAGTTTGCAGTGCAGCTCATGTGTCTGCCTGTAGGTGTGTGTGTTTGTGCAATCTATGGGCCTGCAGTTCATCAAGCTGTTTGAGGAGAGCTCCTTTTTCCAGCTCTAACATGGAGATCCGCTCATTCTTATGACTCACCTCCTGTCAAAGGGAAAAAACAAAAGAAAATTACCATGGCCATATCATACAGACATAAAGAGACTAATCGAGGCAAGAACAAAGGAAAATTTAAACAAACGCATCCTCAGTTTGAAAAGATCTGTTAAAGGAGAAAAACACTAATTCCAATAAAAGTATGTCAAAAGAAAAGATATGAAATAAACTTTTTTTTAAAATGTGTTTGTAGCATTTTTAAGTTGAATATGTAAACTGAAAAAAAAAAAAACAATTTACACACAACTATTTTCTGTCCTCTTACATGAGTCAGTACTGTGTTGTGCCACCGGAGTTCGCTGTCTGCCACTGCTTCTGGCAGAGAACGGTTGCTACTGCTGGTGACGTTGGGCTCGCTCATCACAGAGCCCAGAGAGCCGTTCACCCGCTGGATCCGAGACCTGAGGAGGCAAGACCGAGCCTGTAGAGATACAGACAGGGAATAGTCTTTTATCCTGCGCGGGCCATGAGCACATGACCTGTTAAATCTTCCACATTTAGGCTTTTTAACAGCTCTGTATTTCTCTACCTGTCTCACCTACATCCCTTTGAGTTATACAATTACTTGGAAAAGGAGCTCAGATGTGGGTGTATGGATGTATAAATGGCACACCTAGCTAGAAAACGAGTTTGCGTTCAATGCATCCTACATTGAGTCATGGTCAGTAAAGTCAACAGGGCCCTGCCTTGTACCTCTGCTGCACCTTCCTGGCTGCAGCTGACCCCGCTTTTGGCCTCGATGTTGTCCTGCCTGGCTCTGTTCTCCTCCAGCCGCTGGAGGTACCAGAGACGAGTCTTCTCCAGGATCTCCAGACCAGAGCACAGAGCGTCCTTCTCCTTCTCTAGATCCTTCAGGCGCTTAATCTGAGATGGGAGGAACAACAGCTCGTTCAGGTTCACATACAGGACTAAAATGTTGAATTTAAAGTTGTGTCTTACAGCCTAAACTGACATTCTCCTCCATGGACATCATCTCAGAACAAGTTTGTGACAGGATAGTGGCAGAGGGGTTTCGATTTTTCATTTCCAGTCACATTTTAACTGTCTATGTTTGTATGTGTGTGTGATACCATGGGGCTGACCACCAAACACCCGGTCTGCAGCCTGATGTAAAGCAGCCTGATCGGCACAGCGCTGTCTGTTGTCTTCCAGAGGCCCCAAGGCTTTGTTTATACGAGCAGAGCCAATCTACAGAGCAGCAGGAGGCCTTTAGTTCTATTGTCTACACTCAGTTGGATTACATGCACTTTAAATGGACTGAAACAGAGCTAACAGTGCTACAACAACCGGGGAATCATAATATATGGTGGCAGTGATCCACCTTTGGTATCATGAGGTCAGGACATCAGTCACTCTGTAATTTTTAGGGCAATTAACAATGAAATGGATCAGCAGGACATTAGAAGCTTGTGACACTATTGTATCACTAATGTGTGTAATTAATTCGTTTTAGCTGCGTTTGATCAATCAAGTTTTCAAAACGTGCAAAAAACTTTTTTATCTAATGTGTCTTGCATAACGTTACAGAAAGAATTTCTTTTTGGTCAGTAACTGTTTGACAACTCCTTTTATAATCATCGATTTACAGTAAGTGGGAAACTGGTTATATTGAGCCTTTAACAGGAAGCTGTGAGGGTCAGACTTGACATGTGGGAATGTGTCACTGGGATGACTGGAGCCTCCAAAACAACACTCAGACACAGAGCTAAGATGGAAAAACTGACTGAAAGCACAGGGGCTCTACAAGCATTTTGGTTAAATGTCCAGTATGAAAAGCAAACTCCTGTTGCATTAATAATAACAATTCAGTTGCCTCAAAAAATACACATGCTGTAATTTGGCCAATCAAGATCAGTCTAGTCATCAGGAAATGAGAATTTGGGGGTTTACACATTTTGTTTTCACACGTTTTAAAGGCTGATTACAGTCATTTTAGACCCAATATATTTAAATTTGATTACTTTAAGGGTAATAAAATGAAATAAATGAGGAATACATAATTTTATTATAATAATCTTATTCCTGGCAGTGTGGAGAAGGCTTTGAAACAGACTTTAGACCTTCATTTTGGGAGATAAAAGTGACAGAAAATGTCATTTAACACTGTAACTAGATCAATAAAATATCAAAACTCTGAATAATTAATCAATATATGAGACTGTCTTTCTTCTTTTTTTTTGGTGTCTGGTAAATTTGTTTGTGGGGAGTGGTGCATTGCAGAGACTTGGAACAATTATCTCAGTATTTTCACAATCCAACTACAAATATGCATTGCTGTCGTCATAGAGCTTTCACGCCCCTTCTGTAATAGAAGAAGTAATAAAATATCTTATCTATGGCGTGCTTTAAGTAAGTTTTATATGTTAGATAGGGGTTTGTATGTCTTATCTGTTATATATGTGTGAAAAATGAGCCTAAACCTGGTTTTCTTTTCAGTTTATGTGTTAAGTTTGTATCACTTCAAATTGATTGACTTTATCTTCTTCTACAAAGTGAGTCAAAACAGACATTTAAATCATTAATTCCACACATTTATGTAAATGTACCTTGGCCAAATGTGCCAAAGTGGTGACACCTAACACAGACCTGAGAAGCAGTAAATGCTTAACTTTGAGTAATAAGTCACATTTTGGAAGTGACAGCTTAATCTTTGAACAGAAAATGTATGTTTAGCTTTGAAACTTACATAACACAACAGGGCTGTATCGTACACTACGTATACTGAACTGGCAAAAAAAACACGTGCGATAAGAATCACTTACTCAGGAGAAACACACTTACATTCACACACAACAAAGACATAGGGAGATATAACTGATTAGGATCAAAACCCACTCTCTACAACCCCTACTCACACACACACACACACACACACACACACACACACACACACACACCGCCCCCCTTCCTCACCCATAGGTAGAAGCGAAGAGCGTCCAGGCTGTAGAGGCTGGTCCTGAGGGGGATGATGACCACGGTGTAGGAGCCAGAGCAGGAGGGACGACAGGCCATGGAGAGGAGATCAGTCACTGACAGCTACTACTGCTCCATACAGCTGGCTGGACAACAAACAACAAACCACAGCTCCCCTACGGCTGATAATACTACAGAGAGAATGAGAGAGAGAATGAGTGTGTGTGTGTGTGTGTGTGTGTGTGTGTGTGACAGTGAGAGAGAAAGAGAAGGCAGGAGTGGGGAGAAAAAAAAGCAGCACAGATACACAGGCACAGGCAGCATGGTGCCCCCGGGGCGAGGTAATGAAAAATTCCACATGTCACTGCCATGACTGGTTAATCGACATACAATGACACAGAAAGAGAGAGAGAGATGGGGTGGAAAGAGGGTGAAACTGGCAGTACGGCGTCAAATAAAAGAGAAAAGACAACAGTGAAAGGCGTATGGCAGGAAATATGAAAGTGGAGCTGTGGATGGGAGATTTGAGAAGAGGATACAGGTGTGATCAACACTGTGGGACAAAAACCTTGTTCCTCCTCAGCTTTATCAGAAGGATAGGAGGGAAACAGCTTCAGTTTCACAAGCTCCAAAACTGTTTCTCTCCTCGAAATGTTGGCAGAACTTCCCAGAAATCATGTCATCCTGCAACTGAAGTGGAAACATGACATTCCTCCGTTGCAGAATAAAAAGAGAGTGCATGTGATTATTTGCTCCTTTTGGCTCAGGTGAGTGTCCTGTCTCAACATGTTCCCAGGAATGTGACATAACCTGGGGATGATATGTGCATGCACAGAGGTGTGGACATTATAGCAACTGAGTAGAGCTGTCAAGACAAACAAACAGAGCAGTCAAGTACAGTTTTGCTTTTGAGAGCAGCATTCATGGATTTAACTGCATTGACATTAACGTTGTTACTATCAGCGCTCAGCTGTTCAGCTGGTCAGTGCCAGCACAGAAAATCAGTGGCACATGTTTGCTTTATTACTGCTGCCCTCGGGGCCAAACTTGCTGTGAGACCCACTGTATGGATCCACAGCAACACAGCTGGAAGGGTTTTTAATGTGTTAAGATTTATGATGGGAGGAATATGAAGATTCAGCCCAAAAATGTTTTCATCTTTTTTTTTTTTTTAATTGGCAGCTTCTTTGGTTAGTTAATGATGGAGAATATGATCGCAGTTACACAGTGGTACATTAGTGGAAGAAGTACTGACGTCCTTTACTTAAATACAGTACAACAGTGTAAAAATACAATTCAAAAACCTACTTCAGAATATAGAACATGCATGTAATAAGGAATTAAACATCTTCATAATCCAGAAAGAGTAGTAGCACAGTACAGTGGTTCCCAACCTAGGGGTGGGGCCCCTCCAGAGGGTCCCAAGATAAATCTTAAGGGACGTGAGATGATTTATGAGGAATCTGCTATGCACATTTTTAGTCATTTTTGAACTTCTCTAATCTTTACTTTTTTAGAAAGCAACAAGGTTGGAAACAAAAGTCTCATAAACGGAAAAAGACGTAATGATGATGAAATAAAATGACAGTAAAAGAAACAAGAAACTGCATTCATTATTTCAAGATTAAATGAATCTTGCACATGGATAGACATACAAATGCTTAACATAACATAATAATAATAATAATAATAATAATAATAATAATAATAATAAACTGTCTGCTTTTACTAATCCTCCTAATATGTCTTATCACTTATTTTAATAGCTATATACAATTAGAAAACAAATGGATACTATAGTGTCATTATGTTATTTATGACATCTTTTTTTCTTCTGTCTTTCTTACATGCCCCCCCCCCATACCTCAATTGTCTTAATCCTTAAACTAAGTTAGATAGTAGAGACACATAAACCACAAGTCTATAAATGTATCTTTTTGTAATTCTAAAAAAGTAATTCTTTCCATTTCATATTTTTTTACGTTGTATATCCCATTCTTACTTAGTACCTCCAGATGGAGCCATTTCCTAGTCAAGGTTGGGTCTGCAGTTGTTGTGAGATTATCTGTCAACTAACCTTAACACATATCTAAAGGAATGGTGGATTTAAATTTGATCACCCAGCATTTGTGGATTTCTTGACAATAAAAGTTTGGTGCATTCCCAAAAATAAAGTCTATGTTCTCTCTGCTTTATTTAGATTTATTTATTTATTTATTTATTTTCTTTATCCAGAGAGTATTTCTGTCTACCACTATCTACCATCACAGGCTGCTTTGAGTTAAATTAAGCTGGTGCTGCACTGTTGAGAGGGAGGCTATACATTCAGTACATATTGTTATAGTACATGTTTTGAATATTTAGAGGTTGAGTCTGTCTCCTGACAAAAGACATCTTATATAACCTTGTTGTTTTACGGTTTCAACATGGGGCCCTCCTGTCAGGTCCCACCCACTGAATTATCACACTGCTGTTCAGTAAAACCCAAGAAACACTACAGGATTTTCTTTCTTTCTAGTATTTTATATGAAACTTTTTAATAATTTTTTTACATGGAATCGTGTGATTTCTGGGAGCAGCACTTTAAAGCTGCAGTCAAGATTGATCACAAGCAGAGGGCGCTACAAGTGCACATCACTTGCTGAGCTGTGAATCATATTCAGAGCTGACATTTTGTGACTCTTCCTGACGTCCTCATTAAAGCAAGAAGCGGTTGCTTTAGTGAAACACCAGATGGCGCCGCACAATGAAGCTACAGAGCACTGAGACTTCCTCAAAAGTGTGTCAACTACTTCCAATCTATCTGCACCCTACACCGTGATGTGCTTTTGTTATGTTTGCTTGCAAAAGGAAAGAGAAGCTCCAAAAATATTTCTGTTAACTTGTTTATTTGACCCGGACTCACTTCTACAGCCTGCAATTAATGCACAAATAATACAAACCTCTCAAGCTCAATCACAAAAGCTGACCTGATTTAGATCCTTGAGAAATTACTTTTACATAACACATCGATAGCTTTGGTATTAAAAGGCTGTATTTCTGTAGTAATTTCCTGTCAGGTCACGAGCTGAGGCCAATCAGCCCTGAGGCCTCAGCAGTTGGATCAAAACATGGGATTAAGCTGCTACAGAGGCATGACTCTCTGTGCTCCCACATCTCTGAGATGGAGCATGCAGGGAACCCATGACCCCCCTGTTACATCATGAGACACATGGTTCTGAAGCCTAAAGGCTATAGATGAGCTCATGTCATCAGGAACACTAACAAATGATGTTTTCTACCATGAGTCCTTATTTTTAGCTCATTGTAGAGACCTTGATGAGTTTCCACTGTGGGCCCCCCGAGGGGGAAGGATCATACTGTCACACAAATGGTGTAAATATATTACGCTACATTTCACACATTTTTTTTCACATTGTTGGGTTGTCATGGTGTACTCTCAAGTTGTAAATACACACCAGTGTAGACACAGACATACACACACACAGATACACACTCCAGTAACCCACTTTCCTGCTATACTGACTCCTTTTAGTCACTACTACTACTTTGCGGCTGAGAGTGGGCCCCTGGTCGCTTCCTGTGTCACTCCCTCGTATACACACACACATTCACACACACATATTTGCTCTCCTGCTGCCACTGCTACTTTCATACATAGTAACACCACGTAGAATGAGAATGCTCATACATGGTCGCATATACCTCAACGTAAGTAAGGAGTGAAGCTCTACATTCATGTGCTGAGAAACTGACCTGAAGAGGTTCAGCCAGACAGAACTGAGACATTATTCAGGGCCATAGAAGCCGGGCACTTCCCTTCGCCTCTCCCGCCCACACCAGCACTGGCCACTGCAGGCTCACTGTTCCAGATCATAACTCCAAGGAATCTAATCTAGATATGTAACCCCCACCCATTTACACTTCAATCAGGAATGAAAGAACTGCATCTCTCCCTGGCCTCATTACAGACTGACACTCAACTATTTGTCCTGACAACCAAATCTGAGCAGTTATTGCACAAATAAGATCAGATTGGAGGAAGATTGCATTGGAGGAATTTGTGCCAAAGGTATTATGTTTTTGAAGCTACACAAAGCAAGATTTTGATCCAAAATACAGGTGATGAAATCTCAAACTGAGAAGTGACAAAATACTGAACAGAGACCTTTTAGATTAGAGGCAGAAAATAACCAGTATGGTCATTTTTCTGATCTTTCACAAATCTTTATTCAATGAAGAACTGAAACAAGCTGGTACAGATTAGATGATACTGTCATGTGACATTAAAGCAGTACTCCAACAATTTACTATTGCACTTTCATAAAGTTGGGGGACCCCCAAAGAGACAGATTAAAGTAAAGTAAAAAGTAAAAATCAAAGCAGCAGAAGCTGTGATATTCTGACTTTTAGTCCCTTGTACGGGTCAAGCTCCAAAAAAGCCTAAAAAGAATCCTACATTTCCCAAAATTGAAAACAATAGTGTCTTTCATTTTAAGTGGCCTGTCACCTGAATACCCACACCTCCACTTTGTAATGCAGGCTTTCTGTTAATGATTTTAAGCCAAATATGAGACAACCCTGATGACATCATCATGACATCAGCAGGGTCATTTTATTTATTTAGCCACACAATACATTTTACAGACTGTTTAGTACTCTCTGTGGAAAGTAAGCGGAACGTTATATGTAAAAAGAAAGTCCATCTGAGATAGGAGCAAGTGAAGAGAGCTGAACTCCCAAGTGTTCACTGGAAACTCAGTCATCCCTGTGGTATCCTTCACATCACATACTGGCCAGGCTGGAAAACACCAATGTGCTAAGTGCACATGACTTCATACTTTCCAGTTTACTGCTCAGTGAGAGCCACCAGTATGCAATGTCCAGTTGCAGTATTTCAGCATACAGAAGAAGAAGAAGAAGAAGAAGAAGAAGAAGAAGAAACATAAAGACCTATATTTAATAATTTCCCTCCACTCCCTTTTCTATCATTCTCTCCACTGACAGTTTCATGCAGTCAGACAAAACACACTGCTGCATACCTTGGAAATTGTACCTCTGTCCAGCTGGCCCTGTTACCATTGATACCATGGGCCCCCAACACAAGGTCTCCAAATATGAACTCTCCCCAAAACATGGACGCCTCCCTGTTCCTCCTCTCCTGTTCCCCCTCCTCACCCTTTATCCCTCTTTTACAACGGAGGAATCGTACTAAGTTTTTTGTTGAGGTTCACTGTTACTGTTACTAGTAAGTAATGGGTCCAATGAGTAATGGAGTAGTTTTACAGTGTGGTATTGGCACTTTTAATTAGCAAGAAATTGATTTTGGCGCCCCCCGTGGAAAAACTAGTGTTTACACTGCCTTGTTTCATTGATTTCAAGGGGAATAAGACCAAATCCAAACCAGGAACAGACATTAAGAAGAACTGCATAGAAATAGCCAATATTCTCACATCCTTGCTTGTTTGTGTAGGGCATGAAGAGGCATCCGTATTAAACTGAGACTGTTTCATAAAAACTAAAAACTTAAAAACTTTTTGGTAGTAAATTCAAATAATATTTGTAATTGGGATTACATTATCAGATGACAAAAAATAAGTATTTGCAATCAGCCCACACTGAATTAGGTTATAGTTACATTGTCAAGGATTACTTGATTCAATCTTTGATTACATCTTTATAATATATAGCAATATACGGTGCCAAATTTTCAGTGTTTAATTTTGAAGGAAGTATTCTAATTTGATGTGTTTTTTGTAATATAATGGATTATGGTA